GCTGTCTGAAGGAGGAGGTGTAGGAGGGAGACTTCGTGCTCTCTTCCTGGGAGCTGGTGGAGACGATGTGTTGTAAGCCTACCCTCCTGCCCACCGAGACCGTGGGGATTCCATTTGTACCGGCTCGATATAAAACAGAGATGGCATTAGGGGCACGGTTTCTAAGCTGTGCCAGGTGGAAATGGAACTGACAGTGGGTTTAAAGTGGTTAAAGGGTTAAAGAATTGCCCTTCACTGAACATTGCTCCTTACTTGGTTGGTGGAACGTGGATATTTCGGAATCTCCACACGGGTCGTCCCGGTTCTCTCCGGATTGTACCAGGGTCCTCTCCGCATGGCAGGGGGAGGGAGTGGTGATGGAACTGATGACGGGCACTCCACCACCCGGCTTGGCCCTTTCTGTCCTATTCCAGGCTGTTTCTCCTGGAATGAGAGAAAGGGAGGGAAGGAGTGAGTGTGAAAGAGGGTGGCCCTGCTGTCAGTGCCGGTGTAGATAAGGGAGAAATGGTGGGATGTTCGGAGAAAGCCAGACGACATTGTTGAATCCAGGCAGTGTTTTCAGTGTAGGGGTATAGTAGAGGTGTGTGTGTGAGAGAGAGAGATAGAGTGAAAGAGAGGTGCTTCAGGCAATAGTGAGAGTGGTGGAGCATGAGCCTTGTTCGTGGATAGGTGCTGGAACAGATATACAGTGAGTGTGATGGAGTAGAGAGAATACGCAGATACTTATCCTGGCAGAGCGGGGAAGGTTACTGATGCCTGTCCTGTATTGCTGGACATTTCTTCAGACTACAAATACTGCACTGAGCTGGGTGGTGAGCTCAGACCGTGCTCGATGGGCCTGGTGGGACCTCCTCTGGGAAAAGAATTGTCCTCCTCTATACTAACCCATCCACCAGGACCTGCGTGCCCCTGTCATCAAATCATGGTGCAATTGTCCCTTATCTGCCAGGCTCGGGGTAAACTGTGCAAGGCAGCACCGAACAGAGAAAGCTCAAGTATGCGCCCATTGGCCTTTTTAAGGTGGCACCTGCGCCAGGGATCATGGAATATTCAGTGGCATCCGGGCGATGGGACTTACTACCAGCCATGATGGGTGGGAGAATCAGGCTGGGATTGAATGAGAGGAATGTCATGGGGTGGGGTAGGTCATTAATGAGATGAGTTCAATAAGATAACACCGGAACACTAGCTCGGCCTCACGTAGGCAATCCTTCTGTCACACTCAATGTAAGTGACACTGAGACAAATTATTGTTAGATTCAGCTTAATGAGTTAAAGACTCTGCTGACCCTACCAACAGTTACACAACTACAGAACAAATTCTGATTCAAAACTCTCCATCATCTGAACTCAAAGCAATATCTTATTCACGCATCATTCCTGAAATACTGGCCCATGTTGCAAGAAGCTATTGAATTGCATTCATTTCAGCATTCGGAAACCTGTGAACACCTTCCATGACACCGTCTTTCAGTCATTCCCTCCCTGTCTATATATCCCAAACCCATCCCATTTGTTCATATTTAAACTGATTCCCCACCATCTCTCTCTGGCAGTGATTTTCACACCCATGGCACCCTTTGTCATTGCACATTGGAGATATGGAGCTGTAAATGGATGGGAGCCGCACATCCTGTCACTTCCAGAATGGGCTGCAAGGTTCCCCAGGCTGGGCAGCGATTTAACACAGCGTTACCAAGCACTGCACTGGAGTGGTCTGTACAGATCTACACGCTGGGAGGGTAACTGCTCCGGATTTACAGACCAGTTCAGTGGTGTTCACTTCACCACCCTCCGTGATGGAGAGATACTTGGTCAGGATTTATAGATGAATGTAATTGCGTTCTGCACAAATTACAAACGCTGAACAGATTCTAATGCATTCGCGTGGTCTGCACAGCGCTCCACATACTGGACAGCCATCTAGTCCAGGTTTATCGATCAAGGCAGTGGTGTGGTCTGCACAGCTCCTCGTGTTGGACTGATATCTATTTGACTGGTGAGGCCTGCACAGTGTCCCACTCTGGACAGATTGCCGGGTTGTATTGACCAGTACACTAGCCTGGTCTGCACAGTGCTCCATGCTGAATAGACACCTCATTTTGGTTCATGGTGTCTGGGTTGGTTCTGTGAGTTGGATTGAGAATTTGAGGTAATTTACTACTTCAGCAGATCTGGCAATGCCTTTATTTTCTGTTTGCATTTTTGTGATTAGACCTCCAAACCTTCATTCCATTAATGTTGAAGTGCGACCATGTACAGTACATTATGTTGGTGAATACCCACTATCCTGGCAGCAGCAACAGCCTTTTTGAGAAGCAGGCAGCAATTCCCAACGTCTTCGGGTCCCTGCGTAGAAACAAAGGATAGTATCTCGGATAAAGGCCACTCCCTTGATAAATGGTTCAAAATACCCTCCCTCACCACTCCCCACTGCCAACCAAATACATCAAAATACCCCGTGTGCACTGAGAGCACTGGGGCCACTGGGAACATCAGGAAAGTGTACTATCATAGAATTCCTACAGTGCGAAAGCAGGCCATTTAGCCCATCGGGTCCACACCGCCCCTCCGAAAAGTATCCCATTCAGACCTCTACCCTATCCCTGTAACCCTGCAATTTGCCCATGACTAATCCACCTAGCCGACACATCCTTGGACACTATGTGCAATTTAGCTCGGCCAATCTACCTCAGCTGCACAGCTTTAGAGTATGGGAAGAAACCCGGAGGAAACCCACGCAGACTCGGGAAAAATGTGCAAACTCCACACCGACAGACCCCAAGGGTGGAATCGAGATCGTGCCCCTCTTGCTGTGCTAAACACTGAACCATCTTGTCGCCAAGAAAAAGGAGCAACACTTCCGATATCCGAACGTGTCAGATTGAACCCTCCAGTACACACTGTATCACTAAGCCCTGTAATCTCTCTCCATTAATGCAATACACAGCCTTTAATTCTTCCAGAAAAATCGACAGGTTCTAAGTTACCCACGTTATATTCCTTATGCCAAATTGTTGTTCATTGCTTATTCATTTACAGATTCTCTACCACTTCTTGATAACTTTGTTTCCTGCCGATGTTAGCGTCATCAACAAATTTAGTTAGAGTACATTTGCTCCACTTGTCTAATCTCTGGATATAGGTTGCAAACAATTGCGGACCCAGCACTGCTCACTGTGCCTCTGCAGTCATTACTTTCTGTTAAACTGGTAAAGACTAATTTATCCCTAATTTATTCCTGTTTCCAGTTCATTAACCACTGTTCCCTGTATTCTTCATAGCAGCTTTGAAAGGCTGAATTTTCAATTCCATTTTCTATGTAACATGCCTGAGAGATTAAAAGATCTGCTCCAATTGCTGAGTAACAGCCTCGAAAGGCTGAATGGCCTCATTCCGCTCCTGTTTAAAACTTCCAATAGGTTGAACAGGCCGCTTTAATGTCGGTGTAGTTGTGAATGGTGCTGAAAATTTTGGAATCATCAGTGAACAGCCCACCCTCTGACTTTGTGATGGAGGGAAGGCCATTGATGCTGCAGCTGCTGATGGCACACAGAGCCTTATGGATGCCCGGTTTTGATTTGTCCTGTCCTTTAGAAGTATACGCTACTTCACAGGAGGCACTGCCACATCACATAGTGGATGGTATCTTCAATATGAGGCTGAGTCGTTCCCTCCGCCAGGACTGTGTGCTGGGTGCTCCAACAGATACTGTTAGGGGCAGATACATCTGTGGCAAGTCGTTTGGTGAGAATGTTTCCCTCTTGTTGGTTCACCGATCACTTCCCACAGTCTGGCTGCTGTGTATTTTAGGCCTTGCCCTGCTCAGTCAGTGGTGAGCCTGTGGAGACACAGTTGGTGATGGGCATTGAAATACCACACCCAGAGTACGCCCTGTGTCCTTGTCACCTTCAGTGCTTCCTCTGATTTGTTTTTAACATCAAAAAGAACTGAGTTATCACTGAGGGGTGGTGTGGAGGGCAGTAGATATCCATCATCGGGCGACTTCCTTGACCATCTTTGACCTGTTGCCATGAGATTTGTATGGGTCTGGAGTCAATGTTGGGGAATTCCAGGGTAACTCATTTCTTGGCTGCATACCACGGTGCCGCCACCACTGGTGCGTATGTCCTGCCGGTGGGACAGGATACTCACAGGGAAGGAGATGGTGCTTCATGAAAGACTTTCCATCAGGCCTCATTCTGTGAGTATGATGGTGTCAGACTGTTTCCTGACCTGTCAAAATGAAGAATAAAAGTTCAATGGAGCAGGAAATAATGGTTTAATAAGTTGAATGAAAGGCACCCCATTGGAATGTGTTCTGTATTCTCGAGAAAGATTGAGGAATTCAATATATAAATTGAAGTAAATGGGTATGGTTTAATGGCATTAGAGAGACATGGCTACAGGGTGACGGATGTTGGAAACTGAATATACAGAACAATTTATGTTTGGAAGTATTATACAAAACTGAAAAGGAGCTGGGGTATTTCTCTGAATAAGGAATGGCATCTGTATGATTGCAAAAGAGGATCTTTCATCAAATGATTAAGGCATTGTCGTAATCTTACTGTTTTTGTATGTAAAGTGCCAGTTGAGTTTGGGGAGAGATTTCCACCGCAAGGCTGAGTGAATCTCACCAAAAATGATGGACAGAAGGGCCTTTGTGATGGGGTTGTTACGACTTCATCACATTCTATAACCGACATTCCTCGGAACATTCTGTAATCGACATTCCCCGGAACATTCTATAACTTACATTATTTGTGAACGGCCGGATTTCAGTGAAGTGAACAAAAGACAAGATCCCGAGGGAAGAGATCTCATTTTATGTCACATTTTATAAGTAATTGAGACCTTAACCTTTGTTACTTCCATCGAATTATTTCAATAAATCTCTGAATACAGTGATACGTTTGAAAATCTCACTCTGTCCTCAATGAAACTGTTAACTTTGCCTCCAGGCTGACGTATAATTTATTTGTTTTCCTTCCTCACAGTTAACGTAGTGACGACCTATGTCCTGCTTTATAAAGATTGTGGATTGTCATCATGTGTCAGACGTTACCTGGGGGCCATGGCAGTGGCTGATCTACTGGTCATTATCCTCGACCTGATATTGAGACACGTTCCCATTGTTTATGGGGAACAGTTTTATTTCCTGCGGTCCATCCCCGTGTGTAATGTCCACGCCGTCCTGCTTTATGCGGCCACTGACTGTTCTATCTGGTTCACCGTCACTTTCACCTTTGATCGATTTGTGGTAATTTGTTGCCAGAAGCTGAAAAGTAAATATTGCAGTGAGAAAACGGCGGCTGTGGTTCTGGGAACAGTGACTGTGCTGAGCTGTTTAAAGAACATTTTCTGGTATTTTATGCTCACAGCTCGCTATTGGCTGGGGAACGCTCCCTGGTTTTGTGAGATAACAATCGATGTTCGTGACTCTCGTGTCTGGGTCACAATCGAGTTCGTCCACCATATTCTAACCCCGGCTCTCCCATTTCTCCTGATTCTGCTGCTCAATGTTTTCACCGTCAGACACATTTTAGTGACCAGCAGAGCCCGCAGGAGACTTCGGACTCACACCAATGGAGATGTTCAGTGTGACACAGAAATGAGAAATCGAAAAAAATCCATCATTTTACTGTTTGTGATCTCGGCCAATTTCATCCTGTTATGGTCAACGTTAATGGTTTATTCTATATGGATCCGGATGTGGTATTTCGAGTTTCAGTCTGTGCACACGGATCGCTTTGTGCAGGAATTGGGCTTCATGTTGCAGCTCCTCAGTTGCTGCACAAACACCGCGATTTATGCCGTGACCCAGACTAAGTTCAGGCAGCAGCTGAAGAATGTAATGAAATATCCCTTTACGCAAATTCATCAATAATCAAATTCACTCATTAATCAATCCATCCAGGATGTTCTCATTTCAGTTCAATGTTTCAGCAATGAAGCAGCCTGTCGCCATGGTAACAGACTGAGGGTAAGTGCTAGTTTGTCCAATCTTATCCCACAGGGGGTTACAGGGAAACATGTCAATGTTTCTCTCAA